ACACACAGAGGCCTAAAACAAACATACACTATGTAGTTTTACTGTTTTTGAATAATATTTGGGGGAATAATAAAAACGTATTTATGATTGTTGTGATTGTTACTACTGTGGCCCTGGGTTCCATCCATGCACACTCTATTAGTGCCTGCCCCCTGAATAGCACCCCCAGCCCTTGGCACATGTATCTTGGGTTCTCCTTTATGCACTTGCTAGGTCCGAGAGAAGGAAAAGAGTGAGTAACAAACAAGCAAAAGTTTCTTTCAGCCCTCATCAACAACCAATAAGCAAAATGCTTATCTAGCCCCAAAGTGATAAAAGCCATGGATAAAAGTGGACCGGGAAGGTGGGCGCTGGGGATCTTGAGGAAGGGGACGAGGAGTATGGAGCATTCACGTGGTCTGCGAGAGAATCCAGGGTGGCCAGACCAGGAGAGGGCAGACCTGGAATTGCACTTATTTTTTAAAGAATTTGAAGAATTAGCATGTCTGTGATACATGATAAACACTGTTCTCCCGGGGAGCTGGTAACATACAGAATCTTTCTTTGCTTTCCAAAGAAGGTTTAAAATCCCCACTTAGGATTCAAACTATAACTCCTCATTCAAAGTTCAGCTACTTTTATTCTCACATGGAATGCTTTCATTAAACTTTGAGTCTTTAAAACTTTTCCAAAGTAGTTAATGGCTATTAACATAAGAAACTATGAAACCCTAGAGTTGGAACCAACTTTAGAGATAAAAATCCTGCAGTTTGGAGAAGATAAAAATAAGATCTAAAAAGGTCGAATATATTATATATATATGATATTAGATATTATGGAAAAGTTAATCTTTAAGGTAAAACTGTTATCTGAAGCTATAGAATGAATTAATAATGAAGGTAATACCAGGGACTTTTTGAGCTAATGATAGATACTTCTTCCCTAGTGTCCATTACTGTAAAAACTGGGGGATCGACCTGTTGATCCAGTAGTCTCTATGCATCAGAAAGTTTAGCACCAGAGATTTTTAAGCTGAAAGTCGAAACCAGTAGATCTTGTCTGTTCTCTCAAAGATGGAAAATAGAGAAAGCACAGGGAGGTGTAAGCCCAGGATCCTGCCGAAATGTCCCATGCTGTCTCTGGAAGGACAAGTTACCCGTTGCAGATACTGGGGACCTGATCCTGGGCACAGCCAGGGTGGGAGGACAGGGAGCACACGCATTCCACTACCTGATACCCAGCTGAGTTCCTCCACTGTGTATTAGCTGTTGGCTTAAACGTGCCCCGCTTATTTTAGCTGCAGCTCTAATCCTGGCGCTTGTGCTGCCGCAGCCCCAGCTGCCTGCTGAGCTTGTCTTCCTTCTTGCTACAAAGCCAAAAGCAAATCTACGTTCTTCCTTGTCCCATCTACTATTCTGCTCTAGAGGACACAGAATTATCTCTCATGGTTCCCTCTCCTTATTCTGAGTCTTTGGCTGGAGAGTAATCCACAATGTCAAGAGTTTGTGGGGATAGCAGACAAAGCAGCAGAGAATGTTGACCATTAGGACTGTAGGTAGGGTCCCCAAAATGCCATACTGAATGCCCAGTGGAACTTGGATTTCAGTTAAAAGTATATTATCACTATGGCTGGATATTTAAAAACCATATATTATATTAATTTGTCAAAAATTCAAATTAATCTAGATATTCTGTATTTTTATTTGCAAAATCTGATGACTCTACACTTGAGGGCTAGGAAGTGGTAGGTACTGGAGATTGTCTTTGGCTGCTTGAGATAGGCAAAAGAGACAAGAGAAAGAGAACACCTAATTTTTTAAAAAGTAAAATGCATTATTGGATGCCTTGCTCTACCTTTGATTCAAGCCCATGTGTGTGTGCTTACACACATATGTAAACATACTTCAATTGTATAGGACACAGGGCCTGAAATTAGAGACACTGATTATAGACTCTGAATAAATAATAAGAAGCCAGGTGTGGTGTTATATGCCCCTAATCCCACCACTCTAAGAAGCTGAGGCAGGGAAGCTGCAGTGAGCCCAGGCTGGGCAACTTAGTGAAATACGGTGAAAAATTATAAGAGGAGCTTGGGATGTCACTTAGAACAAAGATCTTGGGCCCAATTCCAAGTACACACACACACACACACACACACACACACACACACACAAAATAAGATTAAAACTAAAAATACGACCAGTTAGCAACACTAATTAAATTTAGATAAACTGCGGTGGTTATGTCAATGGTAATGTTGCCATTTTGCTAGTTTACAGATAATCTTTATGCATCTTTAGAGAATCATAATGAAAGGGTCTAAAAAAAAATCACCCATTCCATTTGGACATTTACAGATTATATAACCTAGACCCAGACAGAAGTGAACAGCAGTGCATTCCACTGCCCCTTAGCATTAACAATAGGATAGTAATTAATTACCAGGGCTTACTCAGTGCCAGGCTTTAAGAGGTCTACTTACATTATCACACTTAATTCTCCCAACAATTGTATAATCATTCTTACCGTTCAGACGAGGCAAGTTAAGGCACAGAGAATTATGCCACTTACCTAAGGTTCAAGGTCATACAGCTAATAAGTGAAGGTGACTGCTAAAAACTCAGGTAGTCTGGCCCAAGACCCACAGACTCCAACATGACTCCCTGCTGCCTCTCAAACAAGATGACTTTGTATCACTAAACATGTTGGTAAACATAAACTTTTAGAGCCGACTGGCCCTATAGCATGATTTTTGTACTTAATCACAAGGCCACTGAATTATAGTCTATGGAAAGTTGATAAAATGTGGCCGTCACTGGTGTCAATTTCAGGATGAAAAAGTCCTATCACAGAAAGGCTAAATTGTAATAATCAGAAGGTAATTTAGTTGCTTTTATTTTTGAGATATTTTCAAAAGATATGTAATTGAAGCAAAGATTTACAGTGAAGCAGAAAGAGTTTAATGAGTTTAGGGTTTGAATGGCTCATGAAAGGAAAGAAGGAGGAGGAGAAGGAAGTAGACCCGGTGAAATCAAAACAAAGAAGAGCCCTTTTTAATCAGTGTTAGCTACAGAATGAGCTGAGATCTCTTAGACAGAGGCCCTCTTATTAACATGTTGCCAACAAGACCTCAGCACTGGTACAGCTAATGCTATAATTATATCCAGAAATAATAGCTACCAGCTTTGACGTTACATTTTCTAAGTTTTGCATGCTACTTTGTTTGCTTTGTCTTTTGAGAGATTATCAGCCCTGGCATCCCAGACGACCAAGCCACTTTGCCCATTTCCAGATTCCTGTTTCCCTGTTTATAAAAGGATGAAGGATTAAATGAAGCTGCTTCTTCTTCTATGTCAGGTTTCCCCCCAGCTATCCTTCCTTTTGACACAAAGGGATTGTACATGCTTAAATCGGGGCCTGGGGGAGACACTACAATTCTTTAGGTGCAGGGGCTGCAGCATCAAACTAGAACAGTCCTTGACTCTACAAAGCCCTGTAGAAGGAAGTTGGGAGCAGGGCAAAAATTGTCTTTCCGCTGCACTTTAACTGAAGGAAGCATTCCTTGGATGCATTTATTTTGCAAGTCTACTATAAGGCACATCACCCAAATCCTTTAGAGCTGATCCAGCCCCTCCCCACCCTCCACAGGAGACCTGCAAAGGAGCCTTTGAAATGCATACGGTTTCAGGCACAACAAATCTACATCCTCTTTTCTTCAGAAAGGTGGCAGTGTTGCCTTGTAGTTTTAAGCAAACTACCAAGTAGTGAGTGGCGAGGTCTCCGGCTGATTAACATATCAACCGCCTCACCTTGTGAAAGGAAAGGAAGGATTTAATCCCTTGCAGACCCTTGTGGCTGGCGGTTGCCACATTTGCTCCTTGGCTTCAGTGGCACTGTGGCTTTGGCAGCTCAAGTTCTTGACTTTTCATCTTGGTCCAGTAGTGCAAGAACAACAAATCTTCAACGAATCCCATAGGCACTTCAAATCCCAGAGCAGCTAAGAAAGTTATGGATGATCCTTGCCTCCCACCATCTGACTTTCTCATTTTCGAATCACCCTTTCCTAGTGAAACCACGGCGGCAGCACCCTTTGTAAAGACTATGAGAAACGTAGCTCAGCAAACCACACCAACATCTTGCTGACACCTGTTATGCTGCAGGTTCACACTGGAGCTCTTAGAACAGCAGGTGTTCTGCCACTATTGAGTGGGTTCTTACTACTGTTATAAAACCAACAATATACACAGAGCTACTGAAGAACTTAAGCAGTCAAGTGTCGCTTGTCTAAACATGGGAACCCGTGTACTGCTACCTTACATGCTTGTGCGCAGCACCTCTGGAAGGAGCAGCGAGCATTCCCATCTCTCCCTTCCACTCACCTCCACTCAGCATCCTTTGGGTAGTTTCTGTATGTGCCACTAACACAGAAATTTGGGGGAAAATTCTCCATTTATAAATATCAGATGGTTTGGGAAAAAATATTTGTGGCACTGGACTTTTTTTTCCCCCCTACAGTGATGTCATTTTAAATTCTTGGTGTGCTCCAAATTTGCTATTTTTACTTCCCCCAAGTGACTTTTTTGGGAAATACATTTGTTTTGATTAGCTACATTTTAAATGGCCCTTGTACCTAGTACACAACACCAGGTTCATCTTCTCAGAAGTTCTGAGTATTCTACAGTTCCCAAACGTGAAAAGCCCTTATTTGTTCATTTTCCAAGCTCTTCGGACGTACCCCTCCAAAATTTCTATTCACAGATATAGCGAAAAAAATCTAATAAGATAACATGATTGGCCTAGTCACAAACAAAACCCACACTCCACCACTGAAAGCATTTGTAGCAGAAGACATGAAAGGCTCCCAAAGTCAAATAAAATTCTCCACTTCCAAAATGTGCTTCTGGGGAACAGAGTGGAGGGAGCCACGGTGGGCTTTGAGATATTTATTGGAAAGCAGTTCTAGAGTCGAGAATCACAGAAGAGGAAAGTTTAAGAAGAAATGCTAAGTGCCTTAGCCCTACCTGATCTGAACTTGCTTCTAATCAGCAAGGAATGCTCAGACCCCAGAAGTGTCATGGTGCGTCTCAGCAAGCCGCTGGTCCCTTTGCCAGATGCCCCCTGTTTTCCACCAGGAACAGGCTCCCGGGAGCCCAGCTGACCGCAGTTAACAACCCAGAATTCATCCAACTCTCTGTGAGCTCCCCTGGGTAGGAGAACATACAGTGGCAGCCAGTGTCCCCAGAAAACTGGCGCCTCCCCCCTCGCTCTGCGGGGCTAATTAACTCTTAGCCGGCAAGACCCTCCTCCCCTGAGGCCTGCCAGAAGCCGCGGCATCCCAGGCGTTCCTGGCTGATGTCATAGGCTGCCAGCAATTGCGGAGTAACTGCACCACGCCTTTATGAAGGTCCCAAATTTGCTATCTGATACTCTTTACTACTGACAGGCTCTCAGCCAATCAGGAGCGGCGAGCGGCGCCTAGGGACCTGCGGCGGCCAGGGGAGTCACCGGCGCCGGCTCTTAACTCTTTGCAGCGGGTGGAGCGACTGGCGAGGTGCAGAGGGCGGGACCGAGGGCTTAGGGTCCCGCGTCTTGGCTGCGCTGAACTAAGGAGCCGAAGCTCCGGGAAAGAGAGGAGGGTGGTGACGCTGCGGGCTTGCAGGTGGTGCGTGGTGCTGCCGGGCGGCGCAGCCCAGCCCAGGCGGCACCTCCCAGGGCCTGGGAGCTGAGAGCGCAGCCCGGGCTTCCCCGGCTCCAGGGCTTCTGCCTGGGAGCAGACGCGGCGATTTCTTGTTCGCGGGCCACACAGGCTGGCAGACTGGACGCGCGCGCTCGCGGGACGGCCACACGCGATGCTTTGGAGATTAGCCGGATCCCATGAAAAGAAACACTTCCAACCCAGCAGAGCGTCTATCCTCCCTCTGCCTCGCTTGAGGGGTTCAGTGCGCAGGACGATCAGGCGTCTCGCAGCTTAGGTATTAGACTTGGATCATTGCTATGGAGAAAAGAAGTCTTTCATTTTTCTGTATCTGCCTTTTGAGCACCTATCTGACTCGCTGTGTCTGGAGATTCAGCCCGGACACCATGATCCTTGCCAACCCACGGGATGGAGGAAGACACAGGAGTTAAAAGTGCTGTGGAGCTGGAAGGAGTCGGGGCTCACCGAGGGTGTGGAGCTGGGGCCGGATCAGAGCCGGTAGAGAGAGCCTCAAAAGCTTTTCCAGCGAACGAATGAGTTTCTTCTTCGGGCAAACGTTTGTGCTCTTCCAATGCAAAGTTCTTAGCGTCTAGAACGCGCCCCATATTATCAGTTCATCAGTTGTGGGCGGGAACCCCCAAACCCTAATCTCAAGCAGCAGGCTTAAGAGCTGGCGACTCAGAAAATAAAAACCAAACTGCACAATATGTCTTTGGATTTAATTTATTTGAAAACTATATCCACATGAGCAACCAGGTATCACCCCTCTCATCATACAGAGTTATCTATGTCTCCGAGCTCCACACCCAGAAAAGATCTCTTGGCAACAGAGGGAGATCTAATGTGACTACAGTTCATGGGGACAATCTCTGAGGGCCTAAGTCTGGGTCCTGTCTTCTGTCGCTGAAGCCACATTAAGGTGATGACACTTTCAGATGATTTTTCAGCTCAGATCAGGTCATTCACATAAACAAGGTCTTACAGGATAGGAAACTTTGGGGGCTGGGGAAATGGCTCAGTAGAATAACTGCTTACCTGGCAAGCACAAGAGCCTGAGTTCAATCCCTGGTTCCGAAAAAAAAAAAAAAAAAAAAAGATAAAAGACAGGAAATTTTGTTCCCCTTGAGTCTGAGAGGAGGTGGAGTAATCCTGTCCAAGTTGGTCTTGAAAATCACCTCCTCGCCAGGCTGATTAGGTGTGCAGAAGCACCCTAGTGACAACATAGGATTTCCCACACAATACACATGACTTTGCTATACCTTCTGAAAAAAAATCACCTATTTAATGGCTTCACACCACACACTGCTATTATCATGGTGCTCCAGAGCTCAGAAATTGGACTTTGGTTTTGGTGGGTTAAAATCAAAGTGTTGGTAGATAGGGCTGTGTTCTTTTCTGGAGGCTGCAGGGGAAAGCCTGTTTCCTTTCTCTCTCCAGCCTCTGGGGACTCCCCATGTTCTGTGGCTCACAGCCCCTTCTTCCATCTTCAAAGCAGCCATGGTGGGTCAACTTATGTGCTAACAGCCCCTCCCCACCCTCCTGCTTTCTCTTGTGCATTTCCCTTACGGTCAGGATAAACTCAGTTGTACGGTTAGCTGACTGGGGACCTTCACTTCCTCTGCTGCCTAATGCCTCCCTGGCATGCACACACTATAAGCACAGGTGCTTGGAGTGGGGATGTGAACACTGAGGACTGAAAGCATTGCTCTGTGTGCCATGAGAGACTTGTTTTTTCTTCCCAGCATCAGTCTTCAGCCTTCTGGCCTTTGATGAAAAAGGGTAAAGCAGAAGGAGGTCTGGGAATAATAATGGCCAGGCACCCAGAAAAACTCTAAGGAGCTGTGAGATGGATACAACTGTGAGGACTCTGGAGTAAAGAGATTAGTTGAATAAGGAATATTGTAAAATTATTAGTAGGGAAAAAATACTCTGAGCAACATTAAAAAGGAAGGAAGGATGGAAGAAAGGAAGGAAGGAAGGAAAGAAGAAAAGAAGGAATGCAGGTCAGCCAAAGAGATATTTATGGGGTCTTAGAGGTCAAGAAGAGGAGCACAGCATCTAGGCAGGTGATTATTTTTTTCAGTGAAAGTTGTGATGAAATCAATTGACATCAGCATTGAGTGTGCAGGGCTGTATGACCTACTAGAGATGAAAGGAAGAGGGTGATTTCCCTTTAGGAGAGAGGTGGATGGCAACAAACTTCTTTTTTTGTGAGTGAGTTTGGGACACGGTAGCAACTATACCCATCCTCAATTTTCTCATCACAATGTTAGGAGCTGCTGATATCACCCCTCTGGGAATCCTACCCCCTGTGGGTTGGAGTATGTTTGGATATAAACATGTGCATAGAGAAGTTCATCCTTTGTCCTCGCTAGTCAAGTGTCAAGCATTCTATCACTTTCTTTTGATGGGGTAGGGTTTGAAGAGGAGCCTCCCAGGAGAACAGAGCTCTCCAGCTGCTGTCCTTGGACAGTAGCGTGCTAACTCAGTGGCAGTTCTGCGGCGTGAGCACCTGCACGGCTCTTCCCCCCCCCTGCTGTGCTGGCTCTTTTCCACCTGGGATTCAGAAAGGGCTTGTGAGTGGTGCAGAGAAGCATGAGCGAAGGCTAGCCTTTGGATCAGAGTATCTGTACCTTGGAGCAAATTACTGAAATCCTTGGAGATAATCATCACTTCATCTGTAGAATGGGGTTGAAGATACTTACTGCCCAGAAGATTTGGGGTATTTAAATGAAATTATCCATTTGGTGTGCTTCAAATAATTCTTTCTGGTGTGTCTTAAATTCCTTTTTTTTTTTTTTTTTTTTTTAACTGCCCCTTCTTTTTTTTTGTGTGTGTGTGTGTGTTTTTTTGGCGGAACCGGGGATTGAACTCAGGCCCTTGTGCTTGCCAGGGAAGCACTTATTCTACTGAGCCATTTCCCCAGCCCCAACTGCCCCTTCTTGACCACTTTCATTCCTTTGTGAAGATTCCTGGCAACCATGTATCTTTTCTTCCTGTGACAGCCTTTTCTTTTTCTTTTCATTATTATTTTACTATTTCATATTAATTATATAGAATAATGGTTTTATTGTGTGATTTTTATATATACATACGTACAGACTACATTTTCTGATTGTGTTCACCATCGTTTTGACCCTCCCTTGTCTTCCCTAGCCCATTCCTTCCCTTTTCCCTAAGAGTCTCCTGTCTCCTTTCACATTCTTTTTGCTCCTGGATTTCTCAAATGAGAGAGAGCACGTGGCTTTCTGGGCCTCACTTATTTCACTAACGTGCTTTCCAGTTCCATCCATTTTCCTGCAAATGGCATGATTTCATTCTTTTCGGTGACTGAATAATGCTGTGTTGTGTCTATACACCTCATTTTTTTCACTCTTTCATTGATAGGCACAGAGCAGTTTCCACATCTTGGCTATTGTGAAGTGCAGCACGATGAACATGACACACCCTTCTTTTTTCTCTGCTATTAGACATTTGTGGCTGTGAGCCAAATTACAATTGTGGCCACATGATGACATTTCTTTTAGCAATGGACCATGCATACGACAGTGGTCCCATGAGATTATAAAGGAGCTGAAAAGTTCTATTGGTTAGTGACATGACAACCCTCATCCTACGGTACAGTGCACCACATATTTGTGTTGACATGCGTAGGTAGAAGCACACCTATCTCATTCAACGTGCATCTGTGCAGTAAATAATGCTTGATGAATGATAACATAGGATCATGTTCCTGGTTTATTTATTTGCTGTCCTTTTAATTATTATGTCGGAGTGGACCTTATATAAAGGTCTTTTTATAAAACAGTGTTTTATGTGACTGTAGCACAACCTCAGGCATCCCATGTTTCTTGTGTCTCATTTGCATCAAGAAGCTATGTGGAGGAGTGAGTGACCTGCAGTGCCTAGGTTGCTTCAATAGATGATATGATGTTTGTTTGTTTTGGTGGTACCAGGGATCAAACTCAGGACCTTATGCTTGCCAGGCAAGCACTTATTCCACTGACCTTTCTCCCTGGCCCCAGATGATATGATGTTCATATAAAGATGAAGTCAACTGATAGCCTGGCTAGCATAATTTATCCCTTGATGGTACCACAAAATTGGCAGCTTAAGACAACACACATCTTCATTATCTTCTAGTTTGCCCAGTCAAGAGTCCAGGCCTGGTTGATCTGCAAGACGCTTCTTTGCTAAAGGACTCATAAGACTGTTGTCTGTGTGCTGGCTGTGGCTATGGTTTCATGAGAGGCTCAGCATCTTCTTCTAAGCTTTCTTGGTTGGTAGAATTCAGATCCTTGCAGCTCTGGAGCTCATGGTGATTTGTCTCTTTGAGCAGAGGAGAAGAATGTATTTCTCCAGGGCAGAGAAAGCTGCCATTAAAACTCTCAGCTGATCATACTAGACTCATCCAGGTTGATTTCTTTCTTGATTCACTCAAAGGCCTATTCACTGGGAACTGTAATTATACCTGCATCCCCCCATTCATCTGTGCAAAACTGTAACGTAATCAACGTAATCAGGCTGTGCTGTCACATTTGCAAGTTCCTCCCATGCTCAAGGGGAGAAGATGGTAAAGGGAATGTACAACTCAGCAGCAGCGGGGTGACACCTTTGAACTCTGGCTTCCACAACTGTGGTTTGACCTCCGTCTACAGCCAGGAGGGGAGTG